GACTCGGGTAAGCACCGGTCGCGGATCGGAAAGCGGTGGTACTCGATGCTGTCTGTGCCTATCCCTAGCAGCGCCGCGCGCACGTAGAGGACGTTGGCATAGGACATCAGCTCGCCTGCCTCCGTGAGGTCTATGAAAGTCCGCACGCCTGCTCGCAGGAGGGCGTCGAGCTTGGGTTTATTAGGGTTCTTTGGTGTCCAGGGATACTCGCAAGCGAGAAGCTGGGAAGTAGCCCAGTAGGAATTAGGGATGGGACGAGAACGGCGAGCTGTTATTGGGCGCTGAGAAAGAGCATTGATTCGTCTTTGAGTCATAGCGAGCATGTCCTTTGTAGGAGGCGGACTAGACGTTGCCGTCGTAGAACTTGTCGAGGAATGTGGGGCTCCGGAGCTCGCCATGATAATATGGACTAAGGACTGTGAAGATGGAGAAATGCGGGTCTACGGGGATGCTCCGGTATATATATAAGAGGTCCAGATTTTTAGCACATAATGGTGGTGGTGATCGGACAAAAACAAAAGAAATTTCGTGGCTGTGTTTCACAGGCGCGTGTTTCGGCGTGTTCGGCGTGAGGCAACGACCCAACTGCTTCTTGACCTCTCTACACCCAATACACACATCCGGCTGCTGTACACAAGAACACGATCTAGAGTTGATGCTATCGAGCCTGGATTATGATCAGCGGATAGGCATAAATCTGGTGGCCCACATGCTACCGGTCTCATAGGGAGATTGGCATATCTATGTCAAGTATACACTGTGAGCTTCAGATGCCCTGCACGCACGCACTTATCTTTACCAAATGACAGGGTATACAAGCTCCACGCAATTTAAACGCTCTTGGAGCACAACGGGCGACATGGCGGATTGAATAGCGACAGTGCGTGGCTTACACGCGGATAGTGATGGCAGGGGCTGGACAGGAGAAAATGCGGGCCAGAGCGGAGCCTGTGTCAGTGTCATGGTCTCGACGGAGAGCCGTGTCCAAAAAGAGGAAGCTTTTTGGCTTCTGTGCATCGGACCTTGCACTGTGCCCATCGATGAATCGCTTTATCAGTTACAGCCTTCAGGAAGCTCTGCACAGGCGCTCACATGTTTTAACCCTCCCTGTGTTATAATTACGGTTCTATCGTCGAAAACACATGCAAATGGTCACGTTGAAAGAATACGCAGCCTCAAGGAAACTACTTGTAGCATGTGAGTTTTCTTCTATAATATGACTATGATAACTGGGCTGCTAAATCCAGCGTTTTGCCAATATAGAATACCCCCCACGTAGCACCAAGAATGAGATTTCAGGGTATTCACATTGTGATATCTATGCATCCAGGCAGACTTTTCCTAACGCCGATCAATGGTTTTATCCTCGAAAATACATGCAAATGGGCACGTTGAGGGAGTACGCAGCCTCGAGGAAACTACTTGTAGAATGTGAGTTTTTTTCTACAACACGACTATAATAACTAAATTACTAAATTCAGCGTTTGTCAATATAGAACACCTTCCGCGTAGTCTGGGAAGCACCAAGAATGAGATCTTTCGACCCCGTTGTGATATTTGTGCATCCAGGCAGACTTTTCCTAACACCGAAGATGCAGTTTGGCTTCTACACATCGGGCTGTGTACCTCGCTATCGCGCATCGATCCGGATTCATATCGATATCGGTGCCAGAAATAACTTACCACCGGTCTTACCGTCAAGAGAACAATACACCGCAAATGAACACGTTGAACGGGCGGCTATAGCCTCCAAGAGAAACTACTTGTACTTACTTGGTGAGTTTTCATTACAGCCACGAGTACAACAACTGGGATTTTAACTACAGCTTTGCGAAGACAGATAAACACATTGCAGGTGGCTCTGCCACAGCATCAAGAGAAGTCACTCGAAGACCGGCCTCGTTGTGAAATTAGGTGCATGCTTCCCACCAGGACTACAATGGATATCACCTATGGGCCGAGCTTCCTATCATCAATATTAGATTCCTGAGCACGGGCACGTTGAAAACATACGCACAATAAAATGTAAGTTATCCTATTTCCAGAATGCGATAACTGTGATACTAAGCACTTTTTGCCGATACAGAACCCTTCTACCTGAGCGCAGAGAGAGAGATGCGACTTGAAGACGACTGACCGTCCTGGCTCCAATGTAATATTTGAATAGAGCATTGCGTCGTTCGAAACCGCGTCCTCGCGATGCCCTAATTCTGAGCCGCAACAAACGCGCTGGAAAACATATCAAAATTTATCCTTTTATCACCAATTGACGGATCACATCTCGAGGCCGACCTCTCGCCGCTCGGATCGATCCTACACGGCAGCTACAAAAAGACGAAATCACCTCCTCTTTCACATCTCTAACTCCAGCTATCGTACCACCAACATGTCCCACGCGTGGTGGAAGAGTGCCGTCGTGTACCAGATCTATCCCATCTCGTTCTTCGATTCGAATGGCGATGGCATCGGCGACCTCAACGGCATCCACGCGAAGCTCGATTACCTCAAGGATCTTGGCGTGGACGTGCTTTGGCTGTCCCCCATCTATCGCTCGCCGCTGGCAGATATGGGATACGACATGTGAGCAGACCTCGTTGATTCAATAACACGGTACCCAATGCACCCGCGCAGCTCGGACTATCGCGATATCGATCCGAGATACGGAACTTTGGCAGATTGGGATAACCTTCTGAAGGGCGTGCACGACCGGGGCATGAAGCTGATGTGAGGCGCCTTCTCCGCACACGTCGCCTTCGAAGTTCGCCTAACTAGAATCCCATGGATCTCAGGATGGACCTTGTCGTGAATCACAGTTCGGATGAGGTCAGCCCATTTCGGTACCCTGTGTATATGTTTTTGAAATTCAATATTCGCGCCGCCGCCATAGCATGAGTGGTTCATTCAATCAAAGTCTGGTAAAGAGAATCCGAAACGTGATTGGTACTACTGGCGCCCCCCGAAATTCGACGCCACAGGCAAGCGACAGCCGCCCAACAATTGGCGATCGGTCTTCCAGGGTATGTTTGATTAATGTATTCTCTTGCCCCCACTCTTCGACTGTCCTCGCGAAGCATGTTGATGTGTTTGATACACGTTCCTCGCTTCGGCGCGGCGTCCTTTGTACTCATTTTGGGCATTATTGGTTTCAGGGTCCGCGTGGGATTACGATGAGAATACCGAGGAATATTACCTCCATCTATATGTTAGCAAACAGCCCGACCTGAACTGGGAAAATCCCGACGTACGGCAGGCCGTATGGGACCTCATGCGCTTTTGGATCGACAGAGGATGTGACGGTTTCAGGGTGCGGTCGTCGCCGAAATGTATACTCCTCGCGTTATTCACCGCTCATGCCATGTGCTGTAGATGGATGTGATCAACCTGATCTCCAAGGTCGAGGGTCTCCCGGACGCTCCAATCACCGACCCTACGCAAGAGTATCAGCTCGCGACAAGCCTCGTTGCCAATGGGTGCGTGGTGTTCGACCCACGTGGATTGACTTACATATGCCCTTTAGACCAAGGGTGCACGAATTCATCAAGGAGATGAATCAGAAAGTGTTATCAGGCAAGTTCAGCATATGACGTAACAATATTCTGCACCATGTATCTAAGCCGCCCTCCCTGGTAACTTAGCGTCCGATCTGATCACTGTTGGCGAAACACCGTTCACCCACGACGCCTCGCAGTTGGCTGCGTATGTATTACCCGCCAACAAGGAGCTTAATATGGTGTTCCATTTCGAATTGATGGAGCTTGATTCACCCCAGGGCGAGCACAAGCCCCTTATCCACAGAGACTGGAAGTTATCCGAGTTTCGCGAAATTATCGGGCGCTGGCAGAACTTCGAACGCGCTCGAGGCTTTTGGAACGCGTACGAATTACTTCAGGCATGAATCTCGTCGAGGCGCTCACCTCAACAACAGGACTTTCATAGAGAACCACGACCATTCCCGTGCAGTCTCGCGGTTTGGAAACGACTCGGACGAATGGCGTGCCCTGTCTGCGAAATTGCTAGCGATGCTGCAGGTCTCGCTCGGAGGTACTCAGTACGTATACCAAGGGCAGGAGCTGGGCCTGAAGAACTTCCCGAGGTCGTGGGGCATCGAAGAATACAAGGATGTGGCGTCCCAGAACTACTGGAACCGGTATGGAACTTCGTGCATCTCGTAAATCTCACTCATGTGCTGTGACCCACGCGCAGGATACTGCGCGAACGCAAAGAAGAAGCAGGCGGCGCAGACGTCGATATGTCTGATGTGCTAGATGGCTTCCAACGTAAGGCCAGAGACCATTCCCGCGTTCCTATGCAGGCAAGATATATCTCAATGCTTCGAAATTGCACCTGATCCCAGTACTTGCAGTGGGATAACGCCCCGCATGCTGGATTCACAACCGGCGATCCGTGGATGCGAGTGAACGACGATTACAAGTCGTGGAACGTTGCCTCGCAAGCCGACGACAATGACAGTGTACTCAACTTCTGGAAGAGAGCTCTCCAAGTGCGGAAGGCGAATGATGTACTAGTATGTACCCATCTTAATCAATCCAAAGTGTAGCAATATACTGATCTCTGCTGAAGATCTATGGTGATTTTGTCGACCTCTCTCCAGATCATGAACAGGTTGTGGCGTACACACGCACTTTGGACGATACTACTGTGCTTGTACTCCTCAACTTCAAAGAGACAAGCATCTTGTATACCGATGGTTTAGGTGAACGCTGGCGAACTGCTGGCTATCTGCTCGGAAACTACCCAGAAGTACCTCCTGAGTTATCATTTGTGGAAGATGGTGTTCATTTGCGGGGCTATGAAGGTAGAATGTACATTAGGTTGTGATGAAGAAATAAATGTTACATCACCTGAGTTATTTTTCGTGAAAGATGGTGCCCATTTCCGGGGCTATGAAGATAGAATTTGATAGTGATATAAAAAATGACATGTAACGTATGCCACTCTCTCAGTACCATTGAGACGCACTGTAGGATATCCAAGATACAGGCGCTATAGTGTAGTGGTTATCACTCGGGATTTTGAAGTCATTTGATATTCCCGAAACCCAGGTTCGAACCCTGGTAGAGCCTTGCTCCACGAATACTGCTCATTGTTTTTTGCCCCACGCGTCGTAGCGTTGTTCATGATCAAATGCACATTATGATTCTGTCCTCAAGTTTCGTAGAAAAAAATAACCACCCCATGTCGTGTCACTAACATACCAGACTTCTGCAGGCCACCTCCGCCCATCCCTTCTATACAGTTGATGTATGCGAAGATGGTTGAAACTGATTTCGTTCCACACCAGTACCAAGATGCACTCCCGATCCATCCGCTTTGAAACTGTTCCGATGTTCCTTCAGGATAGAGTTCAAAGGCGTTCCGGATGAATTGTTAGGGTATACACGTACTTGATAGAAACCCCGCCAATGAAAGGCAAGTTGTGAAGCCATGTACGCCAAGGTCAGCGGCTGGCTGTTCTGGAGGTGAAAGGTGATACCTCGTCTCCACTGCAGGTGTTGATATCCTGGCCACTGGAATACTCTTAGCTGGTATCCCATCGGTTCAAACGACAAGTTGAACGCGCGTCAATGGCGGATATACCCGCCTCGAGATCATATAATGTAAGTATCCAGGTAGATGATTCAGAAACGACACTGCAGGCACGATTCCCTCCATGTACTCGCACTCCCTCAAAGCAGCACCGGTCCCGATAAATGACCACAGACGGTAGGCCCTGATGGGCCAATAATCATTCTTCACCGATCCGTTAGCAGTATAGCCGATAGCGTCGCGGCGCTCATGATTGAATGCCGGCCAACGTGGATACGTAGAAGGATGTAGATAGCTGATCATGATGGTTTGAAGTGGGTACCGAGGTAGGTAGGTCTGTCGGTTGCGCGGTACAGAAGGATCGTATTCTTATAGTTGAGTGGGCGAAAGGCTTTGAAATGGAAAATAAATAAGGGTGGCTGAAGCAACGGCCCAGGAGCAGAAAGCCTTGGTCGTCAAAATTGAAAGAGAGACCATGGCCATGTATTGCTTGGACATGATGTCATGGCGTAAGAACCTATGTGGCACGTATATGATATGTTCCTCCTATATCTTTTTGCGTCAGAAAGATTGTTTTCCGCGATGGCTCCAAGAAAAGAGGTGTGGCGCTGGTGAGCGCTCTTGAATCTCTGGAATCAAGATTTCAAGAAGATAGTCAGGTGAATGAGAATGAAGGTTTCCGGTCGATAAGTATTGTTGAGTACACCCGTTCAACCGAGTGTATGTCACCTTTCGCCAGTTTCGTAGTAATCAGTCTGGGTAGGTCGGGCAGGGTAAAAGTCGCAACGAAGTCGGTCCGTCGGAGCTCAAGACCGTTGTATTATCAACTTGAACTTGTCTCATTGTTCTTTTTTAAATATTCCCACGCCCTCTTGGACGATCACATCTTCAACGAATCAACTTGACGCTACCGTATATGTGTATCTGGATGGCGGCGAACCCGCCCAACGACCGCCGTCATCAGAAGGCCTAAAGGATGTATGTCTCGATGACGGTCTCAAATCTCTGACATTCTCATCAAATGTCCAAACTTGCGTCAGCACAGCCTTTGGTGTCAGGCTCGAATGTATCCAAGCCCAATCTTAGGAGCCAGTACCTATGAGCCTTCGAATCGTAGCTCGCGAGGGAGACTCAAGACTGTGTTCAATGCGTCGATTTTGTCCGATGAGTGCATATCGTCATCCGGTTACCGGCTTATGCGTTTTCATCATCAGAGAACCAATCATGGAGCCAAGTTCCAACTCTGTGGCTCTTGGACCTGGGACACTCAGTATGCCTCGAGGTGACCCCTCTGAGAGAAAGAACCCATTGATTAGACAGTATCGCTGCTGATCTCTCCCATGTTGGGTTCCAAGGCACTCACGATCTCTTCTGACAACGCGAACGCGTGCTGCACTGTCAGGTCTTGAAGCATAGCCCCATCTCTTCAGAGCTAAGATCGTGTAAAGGTGTCTCATCAGGCGACAGCATTCGAGTCATACAACAGTCAAGCGTGTATTTCCTGGGAACACTTGTGGGAATACTGTAAGTGATTGACGCCTTCATATTCAAAGACCTGTCTCTTAATTGTATCTTTTAAGGAGCCCCCTTTCCGTCGGATTTTATTATGGCTGGATGTCCATGACATAACCCGAGAACTTATGAGACGCTGTGATATCCGTGAAGCACACGTGTCAGCGCCTGTTGCCACGGAGGCACCCACAACAGGGCGTGGCTGGTCTCGATACCCGTACAAAACCACAAGTTACGCACCTGCAACTTGACACGAAGTAGGCTGGAGGAGATATATGGCAATCAACGAATTGACAGAACAATGGGTTATGGAAACGCAACATCATTTGCGAATGTCAGCATCAGTGGACCCATAGGCACCTACCTGCACCTACATACTAACGCCAAACCACCTCGTGTCGCAGCGAGGCAGTGATCATTGGACCTTAGTTTCCTATTGTGGATGATCCTCTTGTATTCAACAAAATACAATCTACTACAATCTCCTGCCAACTCCTTTCCCGCGATCGGTTTATCCATTTGCGGTCATGTTCGCTCAAGGGCCCTCAAAGGTACATTGATGCGAAAGTGATCATTTTCGCTTCGTCTCCACACCTGCCTCCTGCGTTTAACGCTTCGGCAAACAGCAGCCCTGAGCGTTGAAATCGTATAAAAACTTGCCGAGGTTCTGGGTTCGGTTTTTTCGCTGCGTTTCGCCCTGTGTCTCGGTGCGTCTAGATTGACCCTTTGTCATTTACCCTGTCTTATCAAGACTACATATAGATAGCTGCAAGTGATGACCACTGCGGAGATCATCGCCAACCTTGCCAGCGACGATCTCCCTCCGACGACTATGAATGCCCGACGACTTTTTGGAAGCTTCACTGGCTGCTTACCGAAACCACCTCCATCATCCCGCCTCCCTAACGAGCTGCTCTCCGAAATTTTCCTATTTGCGACGAGATTCGCTGAAGACCGTGCCGAGACAATATCGACGCCGATTGTTCTATCGCAGGTCTCAGCTCGCTGGAGAAATGTTGCCATCTCCACGGGTGGGATGTGGAATACAATCATCATCACCTTTCCTACCTCTCGCCAACAGCTCTCTCGTGCCGTGACATGGCTGAAACGATCCAGGTCGGCACCGCTCGACATTTTCCTCGATTTCCGCGATCCATCGTGGGATTGGGATCTTGCTGAATCTCTCCACACATTCCGTTGGCAGGATATGGAAGCCATCCTTCGACTCTTAATGACTCACGCTCATCGATGGAAACGATTCGAACTCCTCACTGACACATGGGCGCCTATATTCACCTTCCTTTGTTACACTCGTCGTGCAAAATCTCTAAACACCCTCGAAACACTCTCCCTACATCGATGCAATGCATTCTTTGCCTCCAAGGATGCCACGTTTGCGCCAGTAGAGATGAGAAAGCCGGTGCAGCTCTTCGGCGGGCGTGCGGCGGAACGGCTACGCAGAATAACCTTGACAGGCGTTCATGTCGACTGGGCGGCGTCCCCGTTGCGCAATCTGACCAAGCTTAAGTTCCGTTATCTAGCAAGCGACGTAACGCCGTCGATGGATGAATTTACTAGCATTTTGACAGGATGCCGGCATCTTCGACATCTGGCGATCATTGGGCGAGGACCTCGGATCGACAACACTTCCTCCATATCTTCACCCGCTGACGCAGGTCCACAGGGCCCTCCTCTGAAAGTGTCATCAGTGATCGAGTTGCCACATGTCACTGAGTTTGTCCTCGGTTTCACTGATGCCGATTACGCCGTGAAGCTTCTCGACAAATTTTCCTTTCCAGCGATCAGAAAACTTACACTAGAGGGTCTTGCTGATCTAGACCCGCTGGCCCTTAACGACCTCGACGCCACACCAATTTTGGAGCGGCTGACAGCCCCTCCTACAACAACTATATCACCTTTCCCATTCCCTTCGTCTCGCATTCAATCATTAAAACTTATCGCCATCAACGCCGACACGCCCACCTTCTTACGATTTTTCAATGACTTTCACGCACTGGTTTTTTTGGGGTTATACAAAACCAAAAATGATGCAATACATGCCCTTGCACCTCCTCCACCCGAATCGCCTTCTAGCGCCCCACCTTGCGCCACATTGACGAGGCTAGAATGCCACGATGTTAGCCCCATGGTTCTTCTTGATTTGATGCTCGCACGAACAAAACAGGCCCGGCTACCCCATGTTTCTCTCCGATCGGAGGAACTGAGCTCTGAAAATCGAAGTAAACTCTTCGATGCTGGTGTCGAAATTTTGCGCGATCGCTCAAATCGTGCTCCAACTTGACTTCTAGTCAATCTCTTGTTTTAATCACGCATGTTCCACTGTCAGACTCATGTTATTTCTTGTCGAACATTGTATATGTTACACCATTCTACCCATGTATCAATAGCTTGTTTCATTACCGCACATTAGACCCGCATCTATGAATACTACTTAATATCAGCCTTTTCCGTCCTGTACCCGCGTCATAGGTGATATGAACTCACGGAGTTATCGTGTTGAGTTTCAGAGCCATAATAATGACCTTGTGTGCCCGCTACCATACTTGGTCGAAATCTCCGATGATTCAGCGGAAGCAGGGGCAACGACAACCTCTTCCTGATCCTTGGCTGTTCCCGACGAACCATGATCTGAAGTTTGAGCGCTCGGACTGCATCCTTTAGGTTTGAAACCAGCCGTTCCAGAAATGGACAATGTGAAGGGGTAAGTCCTGGAAGTTAATGGTACCGGCTCACACATCAAAAACAGAGTCTCGATCGAGTGATCAAAAAAACATCAACACTCGTTCAACATTGCGATAGCTTCCAAGACGACTAGTTCGAGTCTGTTCGCCCTCACGCGCATCACGAACGCCCTGACTTCGATGTCTCGGAAGCCTTAAAAGTCAATCAGCAATACGCTCTCCAAATACACCCATGATACCGACGAAACTCGACCAAAACATACGCAGGATATACACGTTCTGCCTGTAAATATCTCCTTTACTCGCGCTGTTCACGCATTCGA